GGGTCAAGACCTAATAAAGCCTTCTCTTGACTTCATTGAACCTATGAACTATCCCCCATTTCTCTCGTTTGAAAAGGTATTGTGCACTTCACCATTGTTCTTTAAACACCTTTAATCTAGCTTTTGGTTCAGATGCTCCTCTAAAATTGCTCTTGCTACTGCAAAATGGCAATGTAAATTTCCAGTCTTCATTGTTCTTGGTCTACCAGCGTCACCTGACATAGAGGTTTGATCATCCTCCTGAGACTGCTTGGTTCACACGGTTTCCAGAAAACCATTTTCTCTTCCTTTCTAGTTTCATCTGGGGCTTTTTCCTTTTTTCCTAACTCTTTAATTTGAGTGCCTCAGGAACTAGATCTTGGTTACTCCCATAATTACACACACCACTGTAAGTGGTCTCTACCTGACAAGAAATCGAATTGGTTTTACTTTCAAAATATATACTGAAGGCTAAAGGGGAGATGGCTCAGCCAGTTAAGCCCTTGTTGTGCAAGCATTAAGACTTGAATTCAGATTCTCTGCACCCACATATAAAAACAGGTTCAGGAGAGGATCTGAGTTTAGGACTTATTACCCATGTAAAAATCTGGCATGGCGGTTTGCACCTGTAATCTCAATGCTTGGGTACTGACTCTCTGGGGCTGGCTGGTTAGCCACTGTTGCTGAAACAGCAAGTTCCAGTTTCAGTAAGACCATGCCTCAAATTTAAAAAGGTGTAGAATGACTAAAGAAGATACCTGATGTCAATCTGTGCCTTCACATTTACACGTGTGCAACACACACACACACACACACACACACACACACACACACACACACACACACACACACGATCCCTATACTACTTTACATCCTAAACAGAGCTGTCAGCAACTTCTTCAACGCCTTCTAACCGGATCTTTATTTTCTACACCTTTCAGCTACAATCTACTCTGAAAACAGCAGCATGTCTCAGTGATTTGAAGATGCTAACTCAGGCAGTCACTTGTCTGCTTATGTCTATTTTATTTTATGTGTATGGTTGTTTTGCCCACATGTATGTTTGTACAACACATGTGCCTGGTGCCCATGGAGGCCAAAGAGGGTGTCAGATTTTCTGGAACTGGAGTTACAGTCCAGCTGTCACATAGGTGCTGAGAATTGAACCTGGATCCTCTGGGAAAGCAGCCAGTGCTCTTAACCACTGAGCTATCTCTCCAGCACCATGCTGAAATCTTAATGAGAATAACCACTGAAAATCTGAGTAGCAGCTAGTCTTTACAATGGATGCAAGTCCTTAAGTCTGCTCCTTACTGCTCCTCCCATTTACCTTTCTGACTGCATCTCTTACTAGTCTTTCACTTTGCTCTCTCCTGCTCCCCTCCTGCTTTCCTCTCCTCAATCATGGTGGTCTCTTTGCTAACCCTTAGACATACCAAGAACTCTGTGGCCCCAGGGACTCTGCATTTGTTCTTCTCTATATCCTTATAGTCCTCTTCTCTCCATATGTATAGAACCATGCTTTCAAATATTTGTGCAAATTGCAGTGAGGTTTTCTTTGACCATTAGTCCTTCAGACCCATCCCTTTATCCTTTTACGTAAAAAAGTAGAAAAATATGAGCAAAACAGAGGAGAACAGTAGCTTATCAAAGCTGATTCAGAGCTGAACAGAGATACTGAAGATTAGCAGACATAGACATTAAAAGTTATTGTAATTGTATCCTAGATGCTCAAAAGCTAAGTAAAGACATGGATGCTCAAAAGCTAAGTAAAGACATGGAATAAATACACACACACACACACACACACAGTTCCAACAAATTGTAATTTGTACAGTGTCTGAGGTGAAAAATATATTTAACTAGAAAACTAGATTAGATACTGCAGACTACAAGACTAGTGAGCTTGAAGACACAGACAGAGAACTACCTAAAGTGAAACACAGGAAAAGGAAATTTTTTAAAAAGAAGAGACTGGACTAGACTCTGCAGGAGTGGAGAAAGAGGTGGGACAGAAATAACAGTTAAGAGAACAATGGCTGAAGAATTTCTAAATTCAATGAAAATGCTGTATTTACAAGTCCAGACAGTTTATGATCACTAAACCAAAGAATCTGGAAGAAAACCACAAAAAGCCTGTTATCATCAAATTATTAATATTAACATTGGTAAAATCACCTCCAGTTCAATCCTCCATACCAGAAAAGGATAAAGACTATTTTAGATATACAAAAACTGAAGGATTCCATCACCCGTACTATAAGAAATACTAAGAAAATCCTTCAGGACAAAGGAAAATGACCCTGCATGAAACTATGTATCCTCTCAAAGAAATAAAGGTGAAAATAATTATGTATACGGAAGAATGTGGAAATGGTATCTTCTGATAAATAAGATATTTGAAGAAAATTGAAATATCTGCTAAAAAGGATTTAGCAGTAAAAACAATGTTATATTGTAGTTTATAAAATAGACCCAAGTACAATATGACAAAACCACAGTGGTCAAGCAGGGCAAAGCAGATGTATATTATTTTAAAGTTCTTACACTATGTGCCAGGGCAAATGTTACTTCAAGGTAGACTGTGGAAGTGAAAGATCTCAACATGAATGTCCATAGCAACCTATGTATCATAGCCCAAACTGAAAGCAGCCAAATGCCTGAAACCAATCCTCTTAAGCTGAGGTCTTACAGCTACTATGAGTGCCTGACTTAAGCATAAGAGCCACAAGATTACACACAGGCTACAAATGAATTTCCCAAAAGCTAAGCCATAACAGGACTCAATAAACAGAATGGTAAAAAGTAAAAAGAAGTAAAATTTCTCTTATCAGATGACAAGTTTCTCCCTATCTTTTACTATCTACTCTCTAATACAAATAAGAAAATTAAGAAACACTTTGAATATCATATAAGAAAATAAGCTTATTTTAACTTACCTAGCACTTTATTCTAGTTTAAGACTTAAAATATTATCAATTCTTAAATAATCAGAAAAATTAATATGAAGTACCCCATTCATGCAGGCTAGTCACTCTTCAAGTTACAAAAAAGTAAAGAAAAAACTTACCAAAAATTTCTCCGTTTTTGGCATATTCTGTCACAAGATACAGCATACTTTTGGTCTCCATTACCTATTGATAAATGATCCCACATTAGTCAGACAGGAGGATTGCTTTACCACATTCTATAGGGTTACACAGATTAAAATTATAAGTGAAAGAGGGAGTTATGAACTATTCAGAAGTCAGAAACCTTTACAAGCCTCATAAACTCATCCCACCATTTTTATGACTGTTAGATCCTTGTTCTAAGTGAGGATCCATGGCCTCAGCAGTAGCAGCTGCTAGTACCTGCTAGAAATACAGAATTTCAGGCCTGATTTCAGTACTGCTGAATTAGAATTGACATTTTAACAGAAGTGATTCCTATGCATTCCTGTTCAAGTTTAAGGAGGTGAGTACAGGCGAAAGAGGTTCTGAAGATCTTTCCATCCTCTCTTCACTTGAGGCTGTGAGTGCTAAGTTATCAAGGCTATAGTTTAGCTGACCTAGCACAATGTGGTATCAATATTCTTCCCTAGTGTTCTTTAGTTAACACTGTTCCAAGGTACTGTAATTTTAAAGCATTGTTTGCAAGCTGCTTCTTCACAGTTCTACTGCTGTGTATTTTCATTTAAATTAGCTTTACTAGGTTCAGAAAGTGTATCATTGTTACAAATTTGAATTTTCTGCTGTATGAAGAGACACTACTTAGACTCAAGCAGTTTTTAGACTGTTTTTCTGTATACTTGTGTGTGTGTGTGTGTGTGTGTGTGTGTGTGTGTGTGTGT